ATTGTTTCATTGGTTTGTCAACTTGTGTCGATTTTCTAATTTGATTTTTAAATAGTTCGTTTTGTCATTCAATCTTAATTCTCATACGAAGTATCGATTGTTTTGTTTGATTTATTAACTTCTAGTTGTATACCCATGCGATGCAACGGGAAACAATCACTGTCTGTGAAAATACAATAGCTACCAATATTTTCACAACCAATCAGTCAAATCCATTTTGTTGACATCCATTTGCCATTGAAATACATTAGCTAACCGGTACATGAAAAGTTTTTTTTGGAAAAAATGCAAATAGCAGACTCATATAACAAAAGCTAGCAATTATAAATGGTTAGAGACTTTGAGCGTTTGATTAAACGGCCCTTAAATACCTCAATCAGAACTTGAAATTTAGGATCATAATTTACTTTTAGTATTGTTACCAGGTGCTATAGTACCTTATGTATATTCAACACTTGGTACAAACTCCATCAGATACTATAATGGTCCAATTGTCAACCATCACAAAGAAACCACAAACAAAACTCAATTCGCAAATCATTAGATCCCGACAATAATTTCACAAGTAGCAAACAAATCAAGTAGCTAAATGATACCCGCATAATGTTACAGGAAGTAAAATTATTATAAACGATTATAAAATTAAGCTAACTACCAGAAAGAGAATGATATGATTTTAAAAGCTCAGAATAAGGATGTAAATGAATAACATAAAACTCGATTAAAGCAAACCTCAATTTAAGCATTTCCAAATTGAAATAAATGAATTATTGTGGGCTTCTAGTTACCAAAAGATATGACCAATGGACTTTGGCCAAACCAACCAACTTCCATTAAAAGTTGAACAACATACACAAAACAACCAATAACACAAAGTACATCAAACCAAATGCCATTATCTTATGCAACCAAACCCGTAACCGTTAAATATACCAAACCTACAATTAGTCCTTCATGCGCCAACAATGGCATTGCCTTGTTCTCCGACATGTTCCGTAGGTCCAATATCATTGACTTGTCCCATATCATTCGCTGCCAATTGACATAACTACAATAACAAAAAGTCGAAATCCATAGAAATTAATTAAAAAACCAAACAAAACCAGTAAAGCTAATTCACATATATGCTTCATCCCATTTTAAAAATGCACAATATGATCCCCTCACTAGAAACAAACTAATAATTATAAGAAACGAATCAAATGGTTCAACGATTTGCTTACAAATGATTGTTGCTAGGATTTTTTATATCTCGTCTTCCCGGGTTTGAATCAAACCCAGGCGCTACCAAAGCCCATGATATTGAGATAGGTGTTTTATTTAGTTTGAGTTCTTGACTTGATAGAGTTTGATCATAAAAAAGGCAACAATAACATCAAGTGCCTAAATGATCCAAAGTAGTATATTACAATTACCATCAAGGAAAAGAGAAAATGCAATAATAGCATCAAACCCATCAAAGTTTATGTTCATATATGTGTCCACGAGGCAATATAAGTTGCATACAAGATAAAATCAAATGCATAATTATGTAGATGCAAAATTAACAATGAGAATAGTCTAAAGTTCTAATCAAATGCATAATATCATTCTTGATGTTTTGATATGGCTCATGCAGCATCACAAGTGAATGAAGGAAATATAGATGGCTCATACAGCATCACAAGTAAATCAAGTTTATACAACATAACCTTATCTTTTCTTTCTTTTCTTTTTTGGCAAGTTCCCATTGGTTTTAGTTATAACCTGTTGCTTTTGATCTTATCACAATCCATAACACCAGTGAACACTCAACACAGACAATAACTAAGGGGCCGTTTACCAAACACTTACCATGTAGGTGMTTACCGGCAAAAATTAACACTATCATTTACTTACCRGGTAAGATTTTAGTCCATCAAAACGGCATCATATGCAACAATTTAGCGGTAAGCACTTACCGTGGTAAGAGTCGTTGCCCCCACTTACCGGGTAAGACTCTTGGTCCTTGTCTTGCTCTTACCGGGTAAGATTCTTGGTCTTTACCATATTCATCCGATAATGTAATGGGATTTGATAAGCCCTTACCCGGGTAAGCGTTTGGTAAACGATCCCTAAGTCTGTTTTAAAAAGAAATAGAAATATATTTTAATCAGTAAGTCCACTTTTTAGCAAGAAATAGACAGTTACTAAGGTTCAAACAAATTTTATAAAAAATAGATAAAAGAGAAGGGACAAACCTGTGAAACTTCGAACCTCGCATAACAACCTCCTAATTGTAAATCATTATGTATGTTTATTCCTCTTTCTCACAAGAAATGGAAATTTCGAGTCTACGACACATCTCGAAGCAACCGGAAACCGGTAATATTACATTTTAGCTCATGAAGATCTCTATGTTTATGTTAGTCCATCAAACCTGTGTAGGATATTGCAAATTTATTTTTTAATATGTAGTGCCGACGTGCTTTCAAAGAATGTGGTGGAATTTAAGTTAATTTCATAATCTTATGTCCAATACAGTACATAGAATCCGGTATTAGATACTGGCACCTCCTGCTCTCCTGCAAAAGAAACCATATCCTAAAACAAGTCCAATCACTTTAATAACCACATATAGCAATATTTGCTGCTGCTGCTATATATATGATGTAGGGGTTGGGGGAAGGGAAGGGAAAGAGAACATCCTACTACCAAATTAATGACATGTTGGATAGAAATAGATTAGCAGCTTTATGAGCAGCTTCAATATAACCAAACAGAACCCTAAACAGCAGCTTCAATCTAACCAACAGAACATCCTACTTCCAACTTTCTTGAATCTAACCACTACTTCCCCTGTTTGTATCTTTAAGTTTTTGGACTGAACCTGATCTTGGGGCTGAGCCAACAAGCTAAGAATTCTATGGCAACTCAAAACAGCAGCTTTATTAGCAGCTTCAACCTCCTCAATATCTCCCCTCAAAATTATATATAAAAATTCCAAAAAAAAAACAAGAAACTTGAGTTTTAAGATGAACACTCAAAACCAATAAACAAAACTACAAATTTGACAGATCATAAGTCATGAAAAGACCAAAAAAGATGGGTTTTAGAATGAAATTTCAACTGCTTACCCTCTTTCTTGTCCAGAAACTCAGATTAAGGTTGAATTAATACATGTATATATATATATATATATATATATATATATATATTTCAAAAAAAACCCAAGAACATATTATAAAGTCATATTATAACCTTTTATAAACTATTTTCCTTTATATGTTCATAAAAAACTATGATCGAGTCATAACTCTTCCTTGTTCCCCCTCTGATAGTTAAAGATAATATTAAGAATCAGATCATCAACGCCTTAGTTTGGTCCTCTAATATCCGAATCAACGGGTTGCCATGAGTGGAATTAATTAACCATGGTGGAGACTTATAAACAAATTTAAACATAACAAATAAGTACACATGTTCACGCCTTGAGCAACTAAAAACTCCTACAAGGTTCTCTAGAATACACAAGCAAGATATGCTTTCAGCTACCTCTTAATGTGTATAAAATTTAACAAAGCATTGAAAACTAACCTCCTTGCTTCTGCGCTTCAGCAATTACATGCAGAGCAAGAGTCGTCTCTCCAGAGGCCTCTGGGACGTATATCTCAACTACGCGTCCCTGCATAAGTAGATTAATGCATTAGAAAAGAAACATAATTTTAAGCATCGTATCATTCAATAACCTATTCAAATGCAATTCAAAAGAGGTAAAGAAAATGCAATGTAAACAACACAAGTAGGCAAGAGACCTTAGCTAGATGCTCTGGCAAAAAACCTCATTGTGAGCATCAATCAGGACCTCCGAGTCACAAACATAACTAAAATATTCCTCAGCCACAAAAGTGCGCATTGATTATCACRATCATAGGTCCATTAATACAATGCTTAAGATCATGAGTTTATAAGCAAGCATGCAAATATCGAGAAAATACAATGGTCTATAGCAATATGAAACKAAGAACATCAAATCAAATTGGCAGGTAATTCTTGCTATGCATCTAATCACCAACCAAGTTCCAAAAGTGCAGTCTACACCCCAAAGCATAGACTTATTCAAAACGTTACTTTAATACTAAATGGACTATAAAACACTYGGACAACGACATTTCTGAATTGAACCATACGTTGCAATATGAACAGCAGGACAAAGAAACAAATAAGATGAAAATGGAGCAACATTATAGCATGGATGAACAAAAATTTCAAGCAAACACCATTGTTATAGTTTCTGTATGGTTGTTTCACCACTTCAGCAAGTTCAGTCTCACAACCAACTTGAGATGAAGGGCTAGTTGTTGCAGTTATTATATATTTTGTATAAGATTACCTACTGAACGTACATATAAATTTTAAATATATACATTCCAATACTTTTAAGCAAAGAGAAATAGGACACTAACACAGTGTAAATACCTTTGGAAAGCCACCAACTCCCAATGCTATATCTAATGCAAAAGATCCTGTAGACACCACTGGGACTTGTCTGGGAGAAGCACACTGACCAAGAAACATGATAGATCCCTTTCCATGAGAAGTATTGATTTGATCAATTGCTTGCTTTAAGGCTAGATCTTTTTTAGACATGTTTCTCTTCACCTAAATCACTTCCATCAGACTTTGATTTCTTTTTACCTAAAAGTTGAATGCCATATGAACCCGAAGGTACAGACAGGTTCATGTTAGCTTACACACATGAGGATGAAACAAATCAGGATATAAGTCGGTCTTAGGGTAGAACAGGGGTTGGCGTGTTGTCTTCATTCGTTTGATTTGGTCGTTAGCTCACAGTAAACACGACGGGAATTCACAATCAAAAACCCTAAAAAAATTTGAATGTTAAAAACAAACCAAATAATTACCTGGAGATGGAGATGGATTGAACGATTGAACGATGGAAGATTGAGAGAAATGCCTGAATCCTCGTATGGAGATGGATTGAACGATGGAAGATTGAGAGAAATGTCTGCCTTAATCGATTTAAAGGGAATCGTCGTATTGAGCGGTGGAAACTCGCTTTAAAGGGAATCGTCATCGAGTGAGATAAATGCATGCCTGAATCGTCGTCTTGGGGGAGGGACAACTTTTCTGAAACGTCGTATTGGGAGAGGGGAGCGATGGAAGCGACGCTTTGGGGAGGGTAGCCGGGTAAAGGGAAAGGGTTGAAAGGTGAAGTAGCATAGATAAGGGTATTTTGGGCATTTATAATTTTAAGATTTTAAGGCTTTTAGTGAATTTGTTTAATAAGGTAGTATAGATTATAATATCGACAGAGACAAAGAATAAAATAGAACATTGAAATCGAGATGTATCGCTGCATTATGCGAGTAGCCTTCTATTTTCATTTTAAAATATATTTAGTATAATCATTGAATTCTAACAAAATACTAATTATTATCTTTATAAAAAATTTACAGGATTAGGTTTTAATCCTAATGTTCACAAGGATTTAATTTCAACAGTTATCGAGTGTGAAACATGCCCTGTTGAAATCACCCAAAATCTCCAGGTTTGAAGGTTCAATTACGAGTTGGTTTTGTTTGGTTTCTACATCAATTTCATCCCTAACCTGAAGATTTGGATCTGCGTTGCACCTGAGGTCTAAGCTTAAAACTGATGGGTTTATTTATTTAGTTTTGTTGGAATAAAGTCCAAGTGTTGATGTTTATCTTTTGTGTTTGAATTTTTGTTTGTATATATCCGTCGTCACTCTGCTTGATTTATGGCTTATGGTTGTTTAGGGATTGGAAATGTCACTTTGATTGTTGTGTACTAGTTAAATTCACAGTGGCCGGCGTTTATCCCTGTTGGCGTCGGTGCCTCCGTACACGGCGGCTGGTCCTGGTTTGGCAGGTATTTAACTACTCTAACCCTACCAATCGACTTCTATACGACGAACAAATGAATATGAGGCTGTAAGAAATAGATTAGGTGAAAGAACAGTACTTTAAGGTGAATCGCTCCTGCTTGATCTCGACTGTGATTTTGTACTTGCTGCTCCTTTCTACCTGATTTCTCTCTATTCCATTTTAGGTTTTCTGCCATTTCAGTCTCCCTATCGGTACCTTAGGGCAACTCCAACCTTATCACCAAAAACATCAAATATGATGGGTCCATAAACATTTAAAAAAAAAACTCAACTTCAATCATATTCTAAAAAAAATACTAAATTTGTGGACCCACATTAAAATAACTCAATCAACCCCTAAATTATTAAATGGAAAATGGTTTTTAATACAAATTAATGGGTCCCACTGGTTTTGCCGTTCAAGAAACCCACAGCATATTTGCCGTTCAAATAAGGGATCCGGCAAAACCTAAATTCATTTGCCGGTCGATTGTAGAGGTCACAAACGGCAAATCCCTAAAATTACCGGTTGAGTGGAGATGCTCTTATATCGGCTCTATTTTGACTGAAGTTGATTTGGGGTTTAGGGTTCTTGAGTTTTATACCTTCTGCACTTTCTAAATTCTAATTCGTCCATGTGATTTGCTAAAAATTGTTATTGATGAGATAAATACATCCATATATATTGTCTGAATGCTGGCCGTTTTTGTTGTCTTAATTCATCCTCTTTTTAGAAGTTGTTGATTGATTTTGTGTCTGTTTTAAGGCTAAAGGGAGAATTGCATGTCCTATTAGTTGGATAGAAGCCTACCCACCCACCAGCCTACCTTGTTCATATTGAGCCAGACAAGAGAGACACTCTTAAAAGTTAATAGAAGCAATTCCTTTTATAAGCTTGAAAGTAGGTGCTGTAAACCAATTCAAATAGATAGGGAAGCTCCGAATCAGCAACAAACCCTTTCTTGCTCTTTCTAATGTCCTAGGCGAAGGCAGTGCAGGTGAAAGGCCAACAGATCTCAATCACTCGTTATAGCTCATGACCTGGCATATTGAAATCTCTTAGATGGACGGATACGAATTTGAATCTACATCTACTTATAAATTTTTTCCTCATATATTAACACCAAGACCAACTTTTTAGAGTTGTAATACATAAATTAACTTGATTCACACATAAAAAAAATACAAATAATATTATTCTCAGTCATTTATTGTTTTTAATTAAATATAAATAAGACTATAAAATGAAATTTTAAAAACACCAAAGTAGATAAAATAAAATAAGTGTGCACATTTTTTTTTATTAACCTGGATATCCAATCCGCTACGCGAGCCGACTAATCCCAGAACAACCACCTGTTTTGCTGGTAGCCCGGAATCACTGCATTTGAATCTTCATGGGCATAAGAGGATTTTTATTTCTCTTTAAATTTGAACATGTGATCTCCATGCACTTTTGATATTTGTAGCACAAGTTCAAACCAATCAAACATCACCTTTGTGGTTAGGTGTGCTCATTAATGTTTGTGATAACGTGGTTGATATTGATTTACATGTGATAAGTGTAACACCCTCATTTTTTTTTTTTTTTGATGTTACGTAATCTGAAACATATTCCTAAATAAATACTTCAAAAGACGGCTAAAATAAAACCGTTTGAAMCGTTTACAGCGGAAGTCTTTGAATCGCCCAAAAATTAACTTAAGTTCTAACCCACCTCATACCAGGTTAAGTTACAAAAGATCGACACGACACTGCTAGACAAAAGACTAAAA